TTTGTTTTTAAAATGTTTACAAGTGTTTTTTTTTTTTTTTAATGAGAGAATCATCAATGAAAATTTTGAAGAATTTTGGATCAAGTTTTAAAAATTTTTAATTTTGAAAATGTGATCATATACATTCACAACATAATATATGGGCACTGTCGAAACATAAAATTTGAAAACATAGAAAAATAATCATATTTAAGAGTGTTAAATAATCTTACCTATTTAAATTCGGTATAATGGATAATTTCACTCAAATGCTTTTAAATATCGTTCTTTAATTTAGTGTGAAAACATTAAAAAAAAAAAAAAAAAAAAAAAAAAAAAAAACTTAATATTTACTTTTCTTGAGGGTACTTTTGAAATCTTAAATTTCAATTTATAAAATTTATTCTTGGGAAAAAAAAAAAAATTGATTTCAAATCTTTTAACCATTTCTTGAAAATTAAAAAAAAAAAAGGGGAAACCCCCCAAAAAGTATTAAAAATACAAATTGTATAAGTTACAGTTTATTAATTTTGAGAAAAACAATTATGGGGAAAAATGAAAATTAGGGGCCTTGAAAAATATTTTTTTTTTGAAGGGTATACCTTATCGACTTAGAGGAAATAAACATGTGTGAGGTCAAACCTCTATGAATTGTGTTTGTATCTCCTCTCCCTTGCTCTTGATTCAATTGCTTGTGTTATTAGTTTCTGAGTTGTAATGATTATTTTAAATTACGTTATTTAAGTTAAATTAAAAATTTATCAGTTCATTATTATTATCTAATATAATGTGGAATTAACTCGATAGAAAGTTAAAGTTGTAAAATAATTAGATCGAGTTTGAAATTACTAAAATTATAAAAATTTAATTCGTTTCAGATGAGATTATTTCGGTAATTCGAGATAATAATTTGATTTTAATTTTTTATATAAGTTATTACAAAGTAGATTAATATTACAGAAGCTATGTGATTAGTAAAACTTAATTTATTGAAGACTCTCTTTAAATTTGGTTATCTTTGTCTCTCAGTATTGACCATCTAAATACACATATATATATATATATATTTTTTGAAAACTCACCATCAGTTTTTTTTAGCCACCATAACATAATTGTCACATGGTAATTACATGTTTACAAATTTTTTTTTTTTTTTTTGACAAATGGATTCACTCAAAATTAAGTTTAAAAAAAAAAAAAAATCATGAACTTAAACTTAAAATATTTGAAACCCAAATTGAAAAATAGGTGAAAATTCATTGAAAATTTTTGTAACTAAAAATATTCAATCTCAAACCAGGTAAAATTTTGGATATGTAATCTTAAAAGCTACACGTGGAAGACTCTGTATGGTTAGACCACAAGAAACGAATCTAAGAAATTGGTGGCTGAGAAAGTTTCCAAGTGGGACAGGAAATATCAGACCAAAAATCTTCAAGTACCAATAAGGTGAGAGTTATAGATTTACGGAGATAAGACCTCAGATTCCCAGGATAAGTAGTTGTTCCTCTGGTGAAGTAATATATATATATATACACCCCCAAGTCTCCTACTCAAGATCATCAAAAACTTCAAACCAGAATCAGCAATGGCAGCCTCAACAATGGCCCTCTCTTCCCCTTCTCTCGCCGGAAAGGCTGTGAAGCTGTCTCCCTCAGCTCCTGAGTTGATGGGAAACGGCCGTGTGTCCATGAGAAAGACGGCGTCCAAATCTGTTTCCTCCGGCAGCCCATGGTACGGTCCGGACAGAGTCAAATACTTGGGTCCATTCTCCGGCGAGCCACCGTCCTACTTGACCGGTGAATTCCCAGGTGACTACGGCTGGGACACTGCTGGTCTCTCTGCTGACCCAGAAACCTTTGCTAAGAACAGAGAGCTGGAAGTCATTCACTGCAGATGGGCCATGCTCGGAGCTCTTGGCTGTGTCTTCCCTGAGCTCTTATCTCGCAACGGTGTTAAGTTCGGTGAGGCTGTTTGGTTCAAGGCAGGATCTCAGATTTTCAGCGAAGGTGGTTTGGACTACTTGGGTAACCCAAGCTTGATCCATGCACAGAGCATCTTAGCCATCTGGGCTACACAGGTGATTTTGATGGGTGCCGTGGAGGGTTACAGAGTTGCAGGCGGTCCACTGGGAGAGGTGACCGATCCCATTTACCCTGGTGGTAGCTTTGACCCATTGGGTCTGGCTGATGACCCAGAAGCCTTTGCTGAGCTCAAAGTCAAGGAAATTAAGAATGGTCGGTTAGCCATGTTCTCTATGTTCGGTTTCTTTGTTCAGGCCATTGTTACAGGAAAAGGTCCATTGGAGAACTTGGCTGACCACCTTGCTGATCCTGTAAACAACAATGCCTGGGCTTACGCCACCAACTTCGTTCCTGGAAAATGAGCTTGTAATTGAAATTAATGTGTGATTTTCAGATTTTAATTCAAGGTGGCGGTGTGTTTGTGTATAGTTTTTCTGCAGAGCAGTAGCGTGTGAAGCTGTTTCTTTTTACCAGTCTCAATGCATCTTTCTATTCTTTCTTATTTCCTCATGAGATTCTGTGTTATTGCTTCTTCATTTTTGCATGTTGTTCGATCTGGACTAACTACGATCTGTTCATGGGTCCTATTATATTGGACTGATAAATCCGGTAAATTGAAAAAGAAAATAAAAGATTATGTTTATATTATGTATATACATAGGTATAAAACTTAAAAAACCAAACAATCCAGTTGAATCTTAATCTTCAAGATTCTCCCCATTTTCAAGCTGCTTAAGCTTCATTCTCCTTCTGCCTCCCTTCTTCCAGACCCCTTGAAGCTTCTTCTTCCTTCTTTCTTGGCTCACATGGCACATTCCAGCCATTTTCTTTCTGCTTTCTTCTTTCTGTTTTCTTATGCAGATTTTAAAAAAGTAGACAGAAAGGCGAGAGGAAAATGGTAAAAAGATATAGGCTATACTGTATATACTTTTATTATTGTTTTAGCAACTTCTTAATAATTTTAAATTGTGGGGCTATGGTGGATACACATACATATATATATATATATATATAGCATATCTTAATTAAAACAAAATGAGCTTTACTAGATATAAGGTTGTGTAAGCGGAGATGTATGTACAGTCTTGGTATGGTGTTTTACTAAAGAGAGAGAATGGAGAGGAGACCTGTGGAGACAGGAGCAGTTCCAGATGCTAGTGTAAACCTGTGGTAGAGGTTTACTGTTTAATATTTAATTAATTTTTAATAAAATTAGAAATATATATAAATAATAGGCTGTGAGGTTATATATATTCTTTTTATTTTTATTAAATTTTTAATTAAAATAATTTTTTTTTAAAAAAGAAAAAATTGACCTTCTCAGATCTAGATTGAGCCAGGCTGAACCCTAAGTTCAATTGGACCGTCCTCCATTTTTTGGTCGGTCCAAATATATACCGATACACAATTATAATTTTTGTAACCTAACAGATAATAAATAAAAATTAAAATCAAAATATACTTTTAACAAATTAAAACACAGAAATTACAATTTGTAAATTTTTTAAAAAAAGATTTTAAATTTTTAATAAAATTTGTCTTGAAAGTTCAAAAAAATTATTTCCACTTAATACACCACTCTGGAGTCCCTAAACATCCATACTTCATCAATCTATAAGTAATCACCTGTCACATTTGAATTCAGTTAAAGAACCAATCACACTTCATACTACAACTATATAATCCAAATATACAACATAAACTGTAAGCTTTTCCCTGATGCTCACTATGCAAAAGCAGAAAACACAAAGGAATTCCAATGAATTCATCATAACGAGTAAGATATAGCCATGATAAGTGTGAATCACATGAAGGACACTGACCTTCTCGCTAAAACATAGATCTATTTAGTGTCGAGAGCAAGACTAACTAAAGCTCGGAATTCTGAGATGGCTGTCGTCTCAAAGTTCCAGCTACGTGAGAGGTTGAAATGAGTAAAATTCTGATTTATCACTCAACAATGAAAAGGTTCCACTGCTTATTTATAGAGACTACATGGTGCAAGAGCAAAATTAAGACGAGAAGTGCACATAGGAAATACAGTAGAGAATAATATAAGAAACTACCGGACCAGACAGCGTGCCCATTAATATACAAGCAAGACAAATGGCATAGTATCATCGATACCGGAAACCATTACTTCCAAGACCGAGGTAAATTATTAACTCAAAGCTAATCATCATCGTCAAGAACACTCCGGCGCCTCTGGATCTGTACAATTGGGGCAAAAGAAGGAAACATTGCAAAAAATCCCATCATTTATATGTATTTATTTATTTCTAATGGAGCTCAAGCATGCAAAAGACAACAGTTACCAATTAGAATAACTTACGGTGACTTTCGTCTGTTTAGTTGTTTGGGTGTTTATCTGCTCCAGCAATGATATTAGTCTCTCTTCAGAAACCTACAAAAGCAAAGGTTATCTAAGAAGAATTAAGTTGTTTATGATACAGAAGGGTATTAGTTTTTGCAACTGGCAGCACATAACATATTTCTCCCTATTGCATCAACACACAACCTTCTCAACTATCTGACCCATCTGAGCAGCTCTTAGTAGAACGTCCTCAACGCCTCTTGCCTTCTCAGGTTTCACCAAAGCAATTCGTGGGAATACAAGAACATAAACAGAAGACAGATAAGCAAAATACAGAATATACATGCACTCATTAATATAAATGTATAAAAGATGTTAGTACAATAAGTAGCGTTAAACACCTTACTTTAATTTTCAGTCAGCAAAAATAACTGGTAGGGAACAATCAAGGTCCTAAAAATGCCAAAATAAGGAAAAAAAGAAACCATTTTGCCAAC